CTGTTACCAATCAAGGAAATCATTGATGGCAAGAAATCTTATATGTTGCTAGCTGAGGAAATCATTGATGGCAAGAGATACAAACCAAGAAAATTGTTGTTGGCAAGAAATCTTATATGATGCCAGTCGAGGAAATCATTGATGACAAGAGATTCTTTGTTCAAATCTTCTATGTTGCCAACTAAGAAAATCATTGTTGGCAAGCGATTATTATTCAAATCTTTTCTCTTGCCAACTGAGGAACTCATTATTGATCTTCCTTGTTTTATGGTATTAAGGTTTTTCTCCACTACATGATTAAATTAATGACTTATCATGTGCTAAAAAGATAACTTTAAACAAAAAAAATTTGGTTGGATCGAGTGGCCTATCATCTGTTTTCCGTTCTGATGTAGGACAAGATTTTCATGACAAGATTTCAAGAATTTTATATTTTTAGTTTTAATATTTTTGATATATTATTAGGATTCTTGTAATTTAGTGTAAATATTTTAGAATTATTAGGTTTCTTAAATTAGATTTTGACTAGGATTTTAAATAGTTTAGAATTTTAGTTTCCTAATTTGTATTGATTTAAATTTCCTAGTTTATTTTAAAATTACTTTTCCTACAAGTATTAGGTTTAGTTTATTATAAACAGCTATGTAAGCCTCATGGCAAAGACAACTTTTATACAACTTTTATTCATTCAATCAATAATATTAAAATATTTTCTTTTCCTTGTGGATTCAAGGTTCTATTTTTCTCGTGGATTCGAGAGCCCCTTTCGTCTACTAGAATGATATCTAGTCCCCGTGTATTCCGCTGTGTCAAGTGGTATCAGAGCAAGGTTTCTCCTGGCTCAATGTCATTCATCGAAAGAGGAAGCACAAGCTCTATTGACGATGATCGTAGAGAAAGAACTAATAGGATTCGAGTCAAGGGACTTGCCCAAGGCCAACCTGTTAGTCACAACGTTAACAGGAACCGCGCTATGGGATTTGCCCAAGGCCAACCTATTAACCACAACGTCTTAAGACAATCTTCTTGTTATCAATACGGTAGTGAGGACGAATCTGAAGATGAGTTATTCGAGGATTATGGTGAATACCAGTTGGTAAGGCGACAACGAAGATTTAGTGATATGTTCAATAGCAATAATTGCATCAATCATGACTTTTCAAATTATCAAGTATCGCCAGAAATTCCATATTTGAATGCTTCTTGTCATGCCGAGGATTTTATTTATTGGTTTCGCAAAGTTAACAAATTCCTTGAGTGTATGGAAATCTCTGAAGAAAAGCAAGCCAAATATGTCGCACGTAAGTTACAAGGTTATGTTTCTACATGGTGGAAACAATTGCAGTATGATCGAAGGCGACAATACAAGCAACCTATTAGGACGTGGCATAAGATGAGGAAGTTAATGAGTTCTAGATTCCTTCAAACAAATCATGGGCAAATATTATATCTACAATATCAAAGAAAGCTTGAATCAAAACAATTGTTTCAAGGTAATTTTGATTCACAATATTCTTCACAATTCAATAATTATTATGGAATTGTGGATACAGATTATTCGAGGAACATGACTACGGTTTTGCCAAGTTTGGGTCAATCAAGTCTGGTAGGTCAACAAATTTGTCACGCTCAACCACACATTGAAGAAGAAAAGATTTTGAGTACCTCAATGTTTCAAAATTTTGAAGACCCACATAGACATTCAATTGAAGTAGAAAATCAAGTTGATTTCAACAATGGTGAGAACGTTGAAATTGATGAAAGAGAGGTCACTGAAATTACTTTGATCAAGAAATTTGAAGAAGACAATGAAGAGGTGAAGCAAGAGAAAAACGTTGAAGTTAGCCAAGAGTTTCTAATGATGGAACTATCATCTCTTGATTATTATGATAGTTATGAGATCGCAAAAGGAGGTCAAGTGGAACTCAATGAAAAATAAGAAATAAAAGATGAGGTAATAAAGTTGACATGTGCACCAGAAAAGTTGATTGAGGATGCAATTGATATTCCAAGATTGATAATTGAATGTCCAACTGAATCTAAGATAGAGCATAGTCCAGAGAGTATCCAACATCAACATAAAATACACTTTGTTAATTTTCTTGGTGTGGGGCAATTTAATTTGATTTTCAATGCTTATCTAATTAATCTTGTCAACTAGTTGAAGCATATAGAAAAGAACTTTCAAAAAGAAAACTTTTCTATATAAAACTTTTGGAAGAGGGGCAAGCAACTGAAACATTCAAAATATCTCTTTATTTGGCATGGAAGATGGCAGATCTCTAATATGAACTCGAGGGCGAGTTCTTTCAAAGAAGAGGAGTCTGATGTAGGACAAGATTTTCAGGACAAGATTTCAAGAATTTTTTATATTTTTAGTTTTAATATTTTTGACATATTATTAGGATTCTTGTAATTTAATATAAATATTTAGAATTATTAGGTTTCTTAAATTAGATTTTAACTAGGATTTTAAATAGTTTAGAATTTTAGTTTCCTATTCCCTTAGGTTTTCTAATTTGTATTGATTTAAGTTTCTTAGTTTATTTTAGAATTACTTTTCCTACAAGTATTAGGTTTAGTTTATTATAAATAGCTATGTAAGCCTCATGGCAAAGACAATTTTTATACAACTTTTATTCATTCAATCAATAATATTAAAATATTTTCTTTTTCTTGTAGATTCAAGATTCTATTTTTCTCGTGGATTCGAGAGCCCCTTTCATCTACTAGAACGACATCTAGTCCCCGTGTATTCCGCTGCGTCACGTTCGAGCTTAGGTGGCTTGGGAAAAATCAATATGCATCCATCCGCTTAGTTAACGGATGCGGATTTAGCGAGCTATGTAAGTTGGGAGTAGATGAGGATTGACATGGTGGTTTAGGCTTTACTATTTTGGACATCTTTTTTTGAACTATTTCTAATAATTCTTTATTGTTTGGAGCCTTATTTGGGCCCAAATCCTTTTATTCTCCATTTCTTATAATAAAAATAAGAGAAGTGTTTGGCACATCTTATGCACATCATATGCACACCATATGCACAATTCACAAAATCACGTAAATTTTCATGATTTTATATAAGTGATTTTACAAAATATGTAAATTGAATACAAATTCACATAAATCTATTTATAAAAGTTTTGAAAATTCACAAAATTACATAAGTTTTTACAAACTTACATGTTATCTTACAAAACTGTATAACTCAAACCACAAAAATACATAATAAAAGTGCATGCATATGGTATGCAATGCACACCTAAGAGTTTTCTTAAAAGTAAAGGTCTAACTTTCATTTCATAAATGACTTATAATAACTAGTTAATAAGAGGCCTTTATTTTTTAACACAAAATGTAAAAGTATAGCATCATTTTTTAGAATGCTAACCAAAAAAATAAATAAAATTTGTCACGTTTTGAATAAAATAAAAATAATTATCAATACATTGCTATTCATTTCTTGAGTAAAAGTTTATCATCACATCTTTATCAAACAATGGATGCTTGTGAATCGGGTAAGGTCAAGTGGTATCCCATCCGCCATCTATTCGGACTGAGGTAAATTAAAAAAATACATTTGTATCCGTTTGGTTAGACCATCAAAATCACCTATTCAATGACAAATCAATTTAGACCGTTCACTTTTAACGGATGAATGAATATTTGCCTAGCCCTAAAAATAATAATACAGTTCGGACAGGTTATCCCATCTCCTCATTGCTTCATGTGGTATGCTGGCAGCTCTAATGTAATTTATGCATTTTGGATGCAATTCTGCAGTACATCTTGCACAATCAGCTACTACTACCTTCTCCTTAATAAGCAATGAAATCCCAAATAAATTATCAAATATTCTACATAATACTCACCTATAATACTCATATAAATGTGAGACCTACACCACATGAAATCTGTACTCTTGTGATCTGAGCATTGTGTAGAAAATTTAATAATTTATTTAGAATCTCTAATATTTTTGTTTTGAAATTGTTTCTCCTATAAAAAAAATGAGAACTTAAAAATAATGTATTCTCATGTCAATTTTTTTTTTTTTTTCACAAATTAAAATTTCAGTACAAGAATATATTATTTTTAAATTTTTTATCATTTTTATGCTGGACAAACAAATTTTGACAGAGGTAAGAATAGCACAAATCCATGTATCTCATTACAGGGTCAGCTCACTCGCAAGAAAATGGGAAAGAATATATGGCCTTGTTTGATTGTCCAAATTAGATATAAGGGGTTGGGCAATGCAGCAGAACATAGAAACACATCAAAAGAAAATCAAGAATCAAATCAGAGAGACATCTAAGCATTTCAATCTTAACAAAACTGTCTACCCAAACATTCAACTTTCTATTTGCCAAAACAAAGAAAAGAGAACAAAAGAAGAAACCCGCTAAATCTATGTCAAGATTTTTATACAACTACAAACTACATACCACTTTCTAAATAAGTTGCTATCCAAACACCATATCACTTTTATATGCACTGCTGATAAATACACTGGAGAGGAGCCAAAGAGAAAGGCTCACATATATTTAGACTCTGGCCTCACATCCCACCCTGACATCCGTCTATGGTGCTTATCCTTCCCACTTTTCCCATTTTGAGAATGTCCTGGTTGTTTGGCAGCTGGTAATCTTACAGCTGGGGTTAAAACTATGAAATCGTCCTCCTCATCACTGCTGCTAATCCAGCCATAGCAAGGTTTTCGCCTTCTGGGTGGGAGATTATTAGCAGGCGATGGGGGGGAACTTAGGTGGCTTGGGAAAAATCAATATGCATCCATCCGCTTAGTTAACGGATGCGGATTTAGCGAGCTATGTAAGTTGGGAGTAGATGAGGATTGACATGGTGGTTTAGGCTTTACTATTTTGGACATCTTTTTTTGAACTATTTCTAATAATTCTTTATTGTTTGGAGCCTTATTTGGGCCCAAATCCTTTTATTCTCCATTTCTTATAATAAAAAAAAAAAAAAACTTTATCTAATAATGAGGAAAGTAATGGAGCTTTTTTACTCCAAAATGCACATCTTTTTATGAGTTATGTCAGAATGTAAAGAAACGTGAAAGTTCATAGTATGCACCATTCCTAAACATTGTTCAGCTTACTCATAATTTTTAGACGGAAAAATGATTTTTGCTTTTTACCCAGTTCGATTGACTTGCATTGCTCATCCAAAAATGTCAGCAGCTAATTTTCTTGCACATAAAAATCTAACACCATTGAAAACTGAAAATGAGATAGTAAGGGGAAAAGGTTTACCGGTTTCAGTAGTCTGTGCAGCAGCATCTACAACCTCAGAGCATGTAAGTGCAAGAACTTGACTGATAGGTGCAGCAGCATCTGCAACCTCAGAGGATGTAGATGCAAGAATTTGACTTGAAGGCCCAGCATCAGCTGCTTCAGAACAGTCTCCAGCTCGTTCAACCTGCAATGGCTCATCCTACAAAAAGGGCCAGTACATGTTCCAAAATAAGCAATACCGTAAATGTTTTCACCATATACACATCTATTATGAAACCAACAAATTAAAATTTAGGCATACTTGACATTTCCATTCGCACTCAATTTCCGTCTTCCTCACGTCCTTGTACGTTAGGAGGAAGAAGGGAGTTGATTCTTGTTTCATGGAGACTCCAAAATCTTATCCATTGAATATTATTCCGAGTTTAATAACAAAGTAAAAGTGCACAACCAGGCTAAACGCGACAAGAAAATGAATGTAGAGATGCCATAGGAGATGGGGCATCTTGTTTAACAACCTATACACTGTGAGCTCATCTCCTATACAACCAATGAGCTAATCTACCATTTCCTACTCAAAACTGGAAGTCATTATCACAAGTACATACAGAATCCACACAACCTAAAACCAAAAGGTCTGAGAATCAAATTTACCCCTACAAGCTAACATCTGCAAGAGATAATCATCCCCACAAACGGCAATTGTTACTGCATACAAAATCCCCTGAATTTTTTTGGTCAAGCTCAACCAACTACTGCATCTTAGCAACATTACTGGTCAAAGCATTCTCCCAACTATTTCATATACCAATAATAATTTCAACAAGAAAAAAAGAAACCCAACCTTCCGTTGTGTATCATTATACAAGCCCTCACATTCCAACATCAAACACAAAGAACATGTCTAGGAAGACTCAATATCCACTTTTAGCTGTAAAAAATCCAAGATATTTTAACAATTCAACTCTTTAAGAGATAAAATTAAAATCTCTTTTAAGGACATCAAAAAAAATTAAAATTAAAATTAAAATCTCTTTTAAGTGTAAGACAATCTCAAAGACCCACAAAATAGTGGCCAATTCGATGAATCATATCAGAGAATCAATGTCTGCTAGCAAAGGATTCACCTCTCTCGATGACCTGCTCACGTCACTTGAAAGAAAGGTTACTGCTACATAAGCAATATTTCTATATAATTCAAGTAAACTATTTTAAAGACCTCTATCTAGCAAGATAATTGACTGATAATCCTCTTCCATGGATAGTTCAAAACAGATAAAGTCTTGTTTGATCTACCCAAAGGCCATTATTGCCATAAGCACAAATGATCTCCTATAATGTCACAATTTCAATTCATTCACAGCAGAAACAAAACAGCTTGTGACCAATGACAATGAAATTATAATATGGATATGGATATATAAAAAAGTACACTTTTAAATAATTCAATCTGGTAGTCCACCCCTGATTTTGCAGCATGGTCACCAAAGTACACGTGATCTATTTTAAAAACACATATCCAAAGTTAAGCAGTTGAACAAGGAAAACAATGGTAACAAATTATACATTTGGAAAGATAGCCCAAAAGAAAAGTAAAACACAAACATGATTGCACCAGGAATGGTGGAAGACATTGAGTAGAAAATCTATCAAACTTGTGAAGTTCTTTCTAGACTCATTACTAACATGCCAAATATTTTGCAATACCCCTATGCATGCAGACCATTCTGAAAAGTCAAGTTTTCTTGATAATCAGATGACGTCGAAAGGTAGGTTTTTAGGGGTTTATTTATTATCAACATATATTATTTGCCTCGCTATTCATTTGCACCTATAATCACTTGGTAGGAAAGGTATGGAAGCAACTGGAGCAGAGTAGGGCTTTTACAGAGTGGACAAGAAGGCTTCGTTTCCTTATTGTTCCCTTATAGAAAGACTTGATACTACTTGAAAATGAGTCTTTTGAAATTTGTTCATCTTGTATGATAGGAAATATCATAAAGTGGGTATACGAAAACATTGGAATCAAGCAAGCAGAACAGCAAATAAAGGAAATTCCAATGCTCAAAATGCGAGTGTCCAAAGGTGCAATCAATAATAGGTCCCATTTATGACCCGACCCTACAAGCCAACACGGGAGAGGATGTCGAGAAACCCACCCCTCACCTCACCTCCCAATTTCAGTCAAGGGCTATAAAAAGGTTGGTAGAGATTTTGAACCCGTTACCTTACCAACTCATTCGACCCTTGGGGTTTCAATCATAGCAAACTTAATCAGCTTAGCTAAATAATCTCTACAGAGGCTATTTAAGAACTAGATCTAAAGGAAGTAGATTTAACTAGATTTGCACAACAAAAGCAAAATTGATATTTTCGTTTCAAATTTCTGAAATGTCCTAATTTAATTGATGACTCTGTTCTACAAATAGAGGCCTAATTTTCCGTCTGGCCGCCCGGAAAACACTGCAATCTAGCACCTAAATCACACTTGATTAAAAAAAGAATAGATATACAACTCATCCACAACAATCAAAGTTACAAATTTAGACAAAGATCAAGTGATCAACAATGTTACCAACAACATGATTTCCTCTCCATTGGATTTATCTCCTTGTACTTCCTCTTCTTGATTAGAAAGAATCGTTTCAATGACCAGAATGTACGCATTAGCTTCGATAAAAGGCCACCCATCATCTCCACCGTATACCTGCAACAAAACCCTCATTCAAGTCACGACTTAAAACCCCAAAAACAATCCAACAAATCAACAAAAACAATCACAAAAACAAAACATTAACTCAAATTGAACGACGTTTAATGATCTGAGAAAATGTAAAATCTATTCAACCAAACTCGATAAAACCCATTTCGCTTAGTTGAGGAAATTTAACTATTTTTGGCAAAATAGAAACAGAAAAGGAAACACGAGAATAAGAAAATTTTCATTCCGTTTTCACTTGGTTTTCTTGGAAACCAAACAATCTCACCTTAAGAAGTTGATTGACGGTTCTCCTAACCTGGTTCCTGGTAAACCCATAGGGTACCAATTGATCAATTGCTGCGTCCATTCTCGTCAGACCCGGCTGCAAAATCCCAAAAAAAAAAAGTGAGAAACTAACCAAAAGTAGCAAAGAATGCCAGAAAATCAACGAGAAAGTGTCGGAAAATGAGAGAGTGAGAAAAAAAACAGTCGAGATTCAAACCTTTCGAGTTCTCCCTCTGGGCGCCATTTGTTGAGTCCCTGTCTCTCTCTCTAGAAAAAGCAGAGGCTCTCTCTCTACAACAGAGCATGACAAATACTCTCACCCTCTCTACAGATATATATATGACGGTGATTATAGGGAGTCAGATCCTCTACTTCGATCTCTCTTTTTGGCTCTCTATTTGGTGGGACATTGGATTCACTTTTGAGCCAAAATTTAATAATTTGAACCGTTCATATTTTAATATTTATTGAATATATCATACATCTAAAAAATTAAGTCGATAATCGAAAACCATATGTTCGGATCATCAAACTAAAAGTTTATTAAAAACTGTTTGTTAAATTTTTTTTAATAAACGATTTTTAGTTTGATGATCCGAATACATAATTTTCAATATTCGATCAACTTTATGTTTTACAGGTATGATATACTCGATAAATTTTAAAATGTAAACGATTCAAATTATCGAAATTGAATCCAAAAATAGGCCTAATGACCCATTAAGTAAGGAGTCAAGTAGAGAGATTGTTTGAGATGATCTAAATAAGTGCACTTTTTGACTTTTTATGAAATATGGGTTGAGTTTGAAGTGATGTGATAGAGAAGTGATATGACTTAAATATGATAGTAATTTTTTTAATTTTTTGACTTTTTTAAGTTATGACAAACAGATCTTAAAAGGAAAGGATCTTGCTCGATCATAGGAGGGTCGGAATGCATGCTATTGGTGGAATTTACTGATAATACACACTTGGTTCAATTTTATTGGTTAGAGAATATTAGATGTTGCATTTCGTTTGATGATGTGATCTGATTGTTAAACGGATCGACGGTGTGTAAGTGATAGAAAGGAATATTGGATGGATTGATTTATGCTGAGGATGCACCTGATAATCTTATTCAAGAGTGTGAAATTGGTTTGAAATCATTTGACAATCAATTTGAGGATTTCTTTGTTGGTTTTCTTTAATTAAAATTTTTATGTCTATACTAATTTTCAAAAATAAAATAATACATCATTTTTTTGGAATAGAAAATCTATGAAATAGGTTTTTTTCCCTCCCCCTTTTAATGGAGTGTTTTCAAATATTTAAATTTTTATGGTCTTTTAATCTAAACATATTTAGATAATAAAAAATATATATTTAAAATTGAAAAAAAAATCACTAAGTAGAAAAGAAAAATTATTTGTTGATCGGAGGGTATCACATGGTTATGCCCACATGGTTATGCCACCGGGCCAATCATAAATCATTGTGCATTCTTATGTTCTCCAATCACTTAATAAAAAATTATGAATTTCACTCACTCTACCAATCACAATACACTTGGGACACTATGTGGCCGCGTCCCAGGATCACAAAATAAGTTCTCATAGAAAAGAGAGAGAGAGAGAGTACACGTAGAGCAATTCACTTGAAATGCTAATTTTAATACAGCATCTCAATAATCCAAATTGACAATATAAAACCCCTTCATCCAAAACCTTCTAAAGATGACATGTTATTGAGCTGTCTTTGATAACAATTTCGTCATGTCAAAATTGATAATTTATATTTAAAAAAAAAACCCACTAAAACAGAAAAGAAATAAAAAGAGTACACATAGATCAACTCACTCGAAATGTCAATACTGGCATGGCCTTTCAACGGTCAAAATTTATTGAAATCCTTTCATCTAAACCTTCTAAAGTTGACTAGTTACTGATCATAGAACGAATCAATGGTGTGCAAGTGATAGAAATAATTATTGGATGGATAGAGTGATGTTGAGGATGCACCTTATTGAATCTAATCCAAGAGTGTGAAAATGGTTTGAAAATCCCTATTGTCATTTGGCAACCAATTTAAGGATTTCTTTTGTTGGTTTTCACCTTCTTTTTTCTTTTCTTTTTTTTTATAGTTTAAATTTTGTAATTTTTATGACTGTACTAATTTTTAAAAATAAAATAATTCATCACTTTCTTGGAATAACAAATCTCTGAAATAGGTTTTCCCCCCCTCCCCCTTTCAATGGAGTTTTTTCAAAAATTTAAATTTTTATGGTCTTTTAATCTAAACATATTTAAATAATAAAAAATCGATATTTAAAATTGAAAAAAAAATTCACTAAGTAGAAAAGAAAGAGAGAGTGTGATGTTATTGTCTGCATACCAAAATATTATATTTAAACTCAAGTAATAACTACAATTCTAAAGTATAGCAGTTAAGATCAGGTGTCTATTCTCAAGGACTAATCGAGTTGTGTCGATACAAAAATAATAATTAAAGTAATTAAAAAAATAGAGTTTGCAAATATTAAAATTAAAACTAATTAAGATAATAAAACATAAAATAAATAAAATAAAATAAGAAATACCTTAGAGTTTGGAATCTTCCATTAACCTTATAATCAAGGGTTACTGTATTAGTTTTTAGAGAATCATTAATATAAAATGATGTAAATTGATTAGAAATGTATCGTCAAGAGAATATGTATATTAAAATCAGAAAGTCACGGATCATCTTCACTCAGCATAGACCGTCACCACTAAACGATGGTTAATACACGACCCGTCATATTAGGTATGACTCGTCTAATAATTTTAATATACATTAATAAAAATAATTGTATAACATGATTTGAATAAAACATGTATTACACAAAAAATCTAAAAGTTATACAATTTATTCAAATCAAATCAAAACTAAAAATACTAAATACAATAAATCTCAATTACTTGATCAGGATTTCATCTTAACTCTAAAAAAAAGAATTTAATTCCACATACTCATGAAACTACCACACTCTAATTACAAACTAAACTCTCCCATTTTTCCTTTCTTGAGCTTCCTTGGCCGAAGCCTATGCAGCCTCCTCTCCTTTTTCATTCTCTCTCTTATTCTTCTCCTTTTATAGCCTCCAACCTGCAAAAGAAAACAAAATAATAATAATAATATATATAATTATTTAGGGAAAGTCGAGGTGGTTGCCCAACACCCTCCATCTAGGAGTGTGCATAATACCGCCCAAACCGCCCAAACCGTTCAAATCGCACCGAACCGTACCGCCAAGACAAATTCGTTATTATTTGTCAATCGAACCGCCGGTTTTTGGTAAGAAAAATGACAAATTCTAGTGACACTTTTATCAATCCGCCGGTTTCTACTAATTTATGTACCAACACTTAAAATATATACAAATATATAAAATTATACAAAATTATAAAATAATACAAATTAATAGATTAATAAAATGGATTTTAGTAGGCCAAATATGTAATATTTAGGCTCCAATCATATCCTCAACTTATATTTTGTTAGTCCTTGAGCAAAACAAATTAAAAATAAAATAAAATTTATCTATGTCGTTTTCGTAGGAAATGCGATTGCATTTAGCATATGCAACTAGCTTTTGAACTCTTAAGTTACCTCTAGTGGACGAGTTGTAGTCTCGTAAGGATTTACAGTGAATATACTCACAAAATTCAAAAAAAAATTTAATATATTTTTTTAAAGAAAATATTCATAGAGATAGTTGTTAATTTTAATATATTAGCAAAAGAATTAATAGAGTTTAGAATACTAGCAATTAATAAAAATAATTTATATATCTCAAATCTCACTGTGAATGTAAATTATAGCCAACAAAAATATTATTTATCTCAAAATAGAATAAGACTCTAGTTCTACCGGAAACATGCTTCGACTCAATTCTTTCCAACTTACTCTCAACAAATGAAACACTATAAAATGGCTCAGCTCACCAGTTTATGTATGTGAGAGAAGACTTATGTTTAACAAAACAAACATTTCTCACATTTAAAAATAAAAAACGTTGTATAGAAAAGTATGTATAGCCTTATGATAGGAAAGCCGAAAACAATGAAATTATGCCAATTTGTCATTTGAAAAATCATGCTAATCTCGAGATCAAATATGACTTTATTTTTTGTTGTCATGTTGGGTCGAAGGGAATTTATAAAATTGGGTAAATGGTGAAAAATAGGTATCTAAGAAATGAATCAAACAAATGCAGCATATATAGGACATTGCTTCACTAACCCGTTCTTTAACTCCTTCCTCTTTGTTTTTTTCTTCATTTTTTTGACATGGAAGTAAAAACATTTTTTTTTTTTCTTTTTACTTTCTTATTGACTTTTGGCTACTAAACAACCTTTAGTCGCTAAAACCCCTACATTCTGCTACTAAACTGCCTTTTAGTCGCTAATACCCTCATATTTGGCGACTAAACTCTTTTAGTCGGCAAAAGTTATCAATTTTTGCGACTAATTCTGTTTCAGTCGCCAATTGTACTACTTTCAGCGACAAAAAATGTAATTTTAGTCGCCAAAAGTGCTTTTTATTGTAGTGTGGGGTGTGTGGCTGTGTGGGGGCAAAGATGGAACTTTGTGTGTATATTGTTGTGGGTGGGTGTGTGAGTAAAGGTAAATATATAAATTTGTGGTGTGTGATGAGAAAAATATTCAGCTTGCTTGGTTGTGTTTTTTCAAAAACACTTTTCAGAAAATTTACTTTCTTGTTTTTCATATTTTTTTGTTTTTACTGAATTTTTTTAATATTTTAAGCAATTTTTTTTACTTTTTAGACATACCTAACATAAATATACGTAAAAAATAAAAAAATTGTGAAAAAAATCTTTTAAAAATTCACTAAATACCAAAAATACAAAAAAAAAAAATACGAGAATTCAGTACATTTTTTGTATTTTATGTATTTATTAAATTTTAAAATATTTTTTCACAATTTTTTTACTTTTTAGATACATATCTACAAAAGTAAAAAAATGTTTAAAATTTTAAAAATATTCACTAAAAACAAAAAAATACGAAAATCAAAAAACTGAATTTAAAAAAAATTTAATTCAAAAAATTCAAACCAAACACGCTGATTTATTTTTGCAAATTATTTTTGATGTATTTTTGGAAGTGATTTGCCTTGAGAGGAAAAATGATGTGTAAATAGAGTCTCCCAGGTTTTTATCTTCTTTTAACTAATTATAATTGCTAAAATAACCCAACATTTCTTTCCCAAACGGCACCTGAATGAGTTTCTATTCGTAGTTGCATTGTTTGTTACATAGTAGTCTTTTTTAAGTAATGAAAAT